CAAGTCCAAGTGAAACTCCCTATCATTCCTTTTAAAACATCTTATGGTGGAGACAGCTAACTGTCCCCAAATTCAATTTCCCTCTTCGATAGTAAAGAACCTTCAGTTTTTACACAGGCATATGACTTCCCATGATAAAGACTGCATTTTCCATCCTACTTTGCAATAAGGTGAGGTCATAGGACTATGGGCCAAAAAAAAAAAAAACCCAAACCCATTGCCATCCAGTCAATTCCAACTCATAGTGACCCTACAGGACAGAGTAGAGCTGCCCCATAGTGTTTCCAAGGAGCACCTGGTGGATTTGAACTGCCAATGTTCTGGTTATAAGCCAAAGGCTTAAACACTACGCCACCAGGGCCACAGAGTATGGGACTATGGGCCAGTAGAATAATATTCTTAAAGTGAGAGGGTATGCTACTCTTCACTGCTTCTTCCTTCTCAATCCCTGAAACATAAACTGGGGCATCCATCTTGGACCGTGAGGAGAAAATAACAGGCTGAGAATGGCAGAGCAGCAAGACAGAAGGACCTGGGACACCCTGAAGTATTATATATGCCTTCGACTAACTCCTTTGGACTTCTTTTATGTAAGAGAAAAATAAACTTCCTTCTTGTTTAAACTAAAAAAGAAATTGTTGAATTGGTGTGTGTTCTGCTGTATATATTTTAACAACAACAAAAATAAATTATTTATAAACAAACGAACAGGGGCATTATCAGTCCTTAGGGAAATGCAAATCAAAACCACGAAGAGATTCTACTTCACACCCACTAAGATGGCTAAAATTTTAAAAAAGTACAATAACAAGTGTTAGAGACAATGTAGGGAAATTGGAACCCTCATCCACTGCTGATGGGAATGTAAAATGGTACAGCTGCTGTGGAGAACAGTTTGGCATTTCCTCACAATATTAAACAGAGTTGTCATATGATGCAGTAATTCTTCTCCTAAGTATATGTTTAAGAGAATTGAAAACACATGTCCACACAAAATCTGGTACACAAATGTACATAGCTACATTCATAATAGCCCAAAAGTGGAGTCAACCCATATGTCCATGAACTGGTGAATGACGAACAGAATGTGGTATATCCATATAATGCAATAGTCTTCAGTCATAAAGCGGAATGAAGTATGATACATGCTCCAACACGGATGAACCATGAAAACATTATGAAAGAAGCCAGACACAAAAGGTCATATGCTGTATGGTTGCTGTGTGCCGCTGACTCACAGTGACCTCATGTGACAGAGGAGAACTGCCCCACAGGGTTTCCAAGGCTGTAATCATTACAGGAGCAGATTGCCAGGTCTTTCCTCCTGCAGAACGGCTGGTGTGTTCAAACTGCTGACCTTCAGTTAGCAGCTGGGCGTTTTAACCATTGTGCCACCCGGGCTCCTTATACACTGTATGGTTTCATGTATATGAGATGTGTAGAATACGCAAATCTATAGAGACGCAAAGTAAATTAGGGGTTTCCTAAGACTGTAGGGGACAGAAATGGGGAGTGAATGCTAATGGGTATGGGGTTTCTTTCTAGGGTGATGAGAATGTTCTGGAATTAGACAGTGGTGATTGTTGTATAACAGTAAATATACTAAAAACCACTGAAATATGTACTTTCAAAGGATAAACTTCATGGCATGTGAGTTATATCTCAAAGTAGATATTAAAAAAACAAACAGGGATACTATTCAGTCATAAAAAGGAAAGCATTACTGATATATAGTACAGTGTGGATGAACCTCAAAATCATCATGCTGGCTGAAAGGTAAAAAGCAGATCAGAAGCTGCCCTGGGTTGAGGGTACGAGGGAGAACTGACTGCACATGGTCGTGAAGAAACTTTTGGGGGAGATGCAAGCATTCGAAAACTCGGCTGTGGTGATGACAGCTTCCCGCCGCATGGGACATTTACAACAGGTGAATTTTATGGTATCTAAATTGTGTCTTAAAAAAAGTTGTAAAAAAATAGGAAACTTTCAAATACTGCTGGTGGAAGTATAGAGTGGTATATACAATCACTTGGGGAAACTGTTCAGCTGTATTTACCAAAGCTGAACACGTGCGTATAGCATAAAGATATACGATGCAGTCATTTTACTCCTAGGTGCGTACCCATTAGAGACATGTCCATAGGTTCATTAGAAGGCAAGTTTAAGAATTTTCATAATCACTAAAACTCAGAAATAATACATATTTATCCACTAAAATGGATAAATTTGGGTATGTACAGTCATACAGTGTGCGTGGATTGACCTGTGTCCCCCCAAAATATCTGTCAAATTGGCTAGGTCATGATTCCCAGTACTGTATGATTGTCTACCATTTTGTCAACTCATGTTATTTCCCTATGTGTTGTAAAATCCTATCATTGTAATATTAATGAGATGGATTATCGGCAGTTATACTGAATTTGAGATTAGATTAGACAGTGTCTTAAGCCAACCTCTTTTGAGATATAAAAGAGAGAAGCGAGCAGAGAGAGACATGGGGACCTCATACCACCAAGAAAGTAGCACTGGGAGCACAGCATGTCCTTTGGACCTGAGGTTCCTGCGCTGAGATGCTCCTAAACCAAGGGAAGACTGATGACAAGGACCTTCCTCTAGAGTCAACACAGAGAGAAAGCCTTTCCCTGGAGCTGATGCCTTGAATTTGGACTTATAGCCCACCAGACTGTGAGACAATAAATTTCTCTTTGTTAAAGCCATCCACTTGTGGTATTTCTGTTACAGCAGCAGTAGATGACTAAGACACAGTAGAGCTGAGCAATAAGAAAGAACAAATGACAAGTAACTAGACGCAACAACACAGATGACTCAAAAACAATGCAGAGTGACAGAAGCAAGATACAAAAGAATACATACTGGATGATTCTATACACGTGAAAGTTAAAAACAGGCAAAGCTAATTTATGATAGTGGTTACCCTTGGGGAAGGGACAGTGACTAGGAAGTGGGGACAGGAGGGTACTCCTGGAAGTTAGTGATGTTAGTTTCTTGATCTGGGTGCTTACTGCACAGGTGTGTTCAGTTCCAGAAAATTCACCACATTGTGCATGTATTATGCGTGCACTTTTCTGGGAAGTTGGTGATGTTAGTTTCTTGATGTACTGGAGTATGTCATAAAATAATATGTTAAAAAAAACTCAACTAGGACCGCACCTAGATCTTTCTCTGCCTCCAGAAAGGCCACAAGACATTTTAATATTTGTACATCTTAAGATTCAGCAATGGACACTGATGATCGTAATCAACACTGTAGAACAAAGAACTGACTTCCCACATTTAAGGACAGGTCCATGACTCTGCTCAAAAAACCCATTCAGTGGAAGATCTTTTCCACTTTGACAATTTAATGCAATGGAAAGCATTAGTCTCCTCTAACTTTCTTGGGTAATAAGGGCCACACATTCTCTGCACAGCTGATATATCATTATGCTCAGCCTGTTTTTCAGGAAAGAGCTTTCTAACTGTCGTAACAATCACTGATTCTGAGCTACCAGCTCTCGTGCTCACTTGTGATATCAATGCCCCATTCCCTGCATGTTCTGTACATACACCTCTCAAAAAGTCACTCCCTAAGAGCCCTGCTTTTCCCAAGCACGTTCTCCTGGGAGAAAGCCTTCGAGCTCAGTTATTTTATTTTTAGCTAGGCTAGAGAAAAATTAGACCAAGTGAGGTTTCCTATGCCAGCCCAACCGCTGATGTTTCATAAGCTCGTGAGCTTCTTAATCCTCCTATCGTTCCCAGCTGACAAGCGATGCCCTTAACAAAGTGTCGGCCTCCAATTGCTTGAATCCCAAGTTTAGTAACGGGGACCTGGCCAGACTAGCCCCTCCTCACCGTCCTCCAACAAAATCACAGGCAGGAAGTATCTTCACATCCTCAGCTCCCTTTCCTTTTCTTTTAGCTCCTTTCTAACAAACGTGAGCCTGGGAGATGGGCTTGTTCTTATCCTCAAAGCGCATGTCACTCAAATTATGTGACCAACTCTTGTAGAATATAATCCCATTCCCCCGTTCCTACAGAGCTCACATGCCAGTAAATGGGTGCCTTCTACGGGAGGCGGGACACTCTTGACACAAAACCTCTCCACACGATTTACCACACTAAAAATACCACAGTCCACTTCCCACGCTGACAAATGACACAAGCTCTTCCATGTTGTCCAAGTGACAATTTCTGGAGAAGCAGAGTGTTGGCTTGGGCAACAGCTATCTCACACCAAAAGGAAATTCCTTCTTATTCCTTCCTCCCTTCCAAGAACTAGAGCTTTGAACAGCCTTATTCCTCTCAGTGTTTCCAGAATATTACAGTTACGTTAAACTCTATGCTGCAATTATGACAAATCAGAGGCGGACGTACGGGTGGGGGGACGATGAGGGTAGACTTGTACCTTCTGGTTTCCTGGGAGAGAAATGCATGTTAATTTCACATGCGAAGGCAGACACGGGAAAGTTTAAGATGCCAGGAAATTATAAACTCATGTTTATCAGATACAGGAATTAAACTGTTAAATAACAGTTTGAAAAGGCAAAGTGATTTCTACTGGGGACAGGAAGCTGGAGTTGGAGTTGTAGCCTAGTTTGGATGTCAGCAATAATACCGCACAGTGGGGTACTGGGGGCAAGTCAAAGGTACTGATGTTCGCGCTAAGAGACAAACTCCTGCTCTCAACAGATTAACAGTTAAAACGACACCAAAACACTTTCTTTAGCCATGAACTAGTTAGTGCTATAGTTACATGGTAAAAATGCAAAGAGAATAACTGATACATTACTAGTCAAAAGGCCAATTTTTAATGTATTCATTTCACTGAAGTTAATCTCACAACTGCTCGTGTTTATCGTCCAGATAAATTTCTTTTAGCAAAGAAACATATGCTCTTAACACCAAGTTTCAATTCTTGGCTGGCTTTGAGCTTCTTTTAATTTAAAGTAATTTATGATAAGGAATCTTCCTCTGGGCAAGGGCCCTTACTCCAAAAATACCTTTAGAGGCTTCTGTCCCCAGCGGGTTTTCTAAGAAGTCCATCCCGTCATGGTCCCATGCGTCACGGACGGCTGACTTCGACACCACCCTGTTATTCAGATCCTGCTGTGGCCGGAAGTTGTTTCTGAGATACTCCACCGACTTGACGTGGTCTTGCTGCTCCGTGGTGAAGATGGAATAAAACGCCTCCAGCTGAACAGAGAACCAGAGAGGGGAGAAAAAAGAACATTAGTTAGAAAAAGTTATGCAGTCCAAAGGGAGTGGGGCAGTAAGAACACAAAATGGTAGCAAGTGCTGATGCCAAGGCTGATAAACCCAACAGGACACAGGGCTGTCTGTGAAATCACTGCCAGCGGCTTATCTGGCATGGTTTCCGTCCTGCCAACGAACCTGGAAAACACGTAATTTGAGGGCTCTACCAGACTCTTCAGCTCACGTCTCATACAACAGTCCCAGTCTTTCTGCGGTGGCCCCCCTAACAAGATCTTTAGCATTATGGGAAGAAATACACAGTTAGGGTGAAACTGGCAGGGTCTAGAGTCAGGGCGCAGTGGGAAGGAGCTATGGCTGCTAACCAAAAGGTCCACAGCTCGAATCCACCAGCTGCTCCTTGGAAACCCCACGGGGCAGTTCTATTCTGTCCTATAGGGTTGCTATGAGTTGGAATCGACTCAATGGCAATGTTTTTTTTTTTTTTTTTTAAATTGGAGTCAGAATGGAGTCCCTGGGTGGTGCAAATAGTTAACTGCTTGACTCCTAACCAAAACGTTGGCGGCTCGAATCCACACAGTTCTACTCTAACACGCGTGGGGTTGCCATGAGTTGGAATTGACTTGACAGCTACTGGTTTGTTTGTTTTTTGGAGTCAGACTGCCTGGGTAGGGAGTTCTGGCTCCATCGCTTACCCACCCCATGACGCTGAGCAACTTGTTTGCTTTCTCTAAGTCCCAATTCTTCCTCAACAAAAGGTGATAACCACACCAGCATGGATCCAATAGGGTTTTTGTTAGCATTAAGTGAGATAATTCATGTGGAGTGCTTAACACATTGCCTGGCGCGGAGTCAGAACTCAACGAATTTTAGTGATTTAATTCTTATTAACAGGAACCTTCTTACTAGGGAACAAGTTCAGCACGTTCACGAAGTCACAAAGTCACTAAAAGCATGGCTTGCAAATTAAATTGTCCAAGTTCGACATTTACCGGTCCGGTAATCATGGACAAACTATTCGAGCTTTCTATAACTCAAGCTTCCTCATTTGTAAAACCTATGTCATAACAGTGCGTACCTTATAAGGTTGTTGAAAGGATTTAAATCTACATAAACTACTTAGCACACAGTAAAGCCCTCGGTAAAGATTAGCTGCTATTATTATTCATTAGTATTTAAAAAAACATCTTTCTCAAGACTGCTAACCAGTGCTTATGGAAAAGCAAAAGAAAAAGAAAATCAGGACTCTGGGATCATAAATCTATCATCAAAAAGGATTCTTTGTGCCCTCCACAGTCTGATCATTAAAAAAGGTCATTCTATTACGTAAGAAGGATAGAGCAGTAACTGGGTGGCAGACTTGTTCTCAATGGACCACAAAGCTATTCTTGTCACCAAAGGCACGACTGTACGTGAAAATGCCCGACCTGCGAAGTACTAACTCCTCCAGGTGGAAGGGAGAAAACGGAAAGAAGAGAGAAAGTGGAAAGGACTGCACCTGGCCCATCTGGCTCCTCGAACACCACATCGGAATACTTTCTGCGGAATTAATGACAAAGCGGGATGGTGCTAGAAAGACCCTTTCCAAGGAGGCATTGAGTGGCTGCCCTAGGCTTCAGGCCCACAGCAACATGTAAAATAAACAAGAGAATTACTGTCTGGGTTGCTGCAAATTTTGTGTGGTCACACTGGACCTGGAACACGCCCGCTGTTCCTCAAACAGCCTCAGAGATCGACACAGAAATGACCTGCTTCCAAACGCTCTGAAACTCCCTCTCCTTCCCTGAGAAAATGATGAACTTACATAGCGATTTTAGCCAAGAGAGATCATTTTACTCTATGGATTCATTTGTCTTTCCCCTCCCCTTCGATTCTCCTGCTTATGCAGAGTGGTAATAAACCATGAATCCTTTTCTGCTTTTTCATCAAGACAACTGAACCAGGATGATCTCTCCAACGGCCTAAAAGCAAAGGTAGCACGGTACTCTTGTGTTACTTCAATTCTCTACCTTCGCTTAATAACTTCTCTTTGCTGAACGACTTCCATGGTCTGTATTTACCTATCTAGAACTCTTCCTTCTCATCCTTCCTTCTGCTGTTGCTTCTTTATTTCTAGTAAAGGCAGAAAGGCAACAAATGGCAGCAAAATTACGAAAAATGGATTGTTTGCTCCGTCCAAATGTGACCTACATTTGAAGACAGGTAGAGATGCTAAACAGAAAAATCACCTCAAACTAGCAATGTCCACCCACTTGAGAGGGCTACCGAAATCACAATGGACTGCATCCAAAAATGAAAGAGCTCAGATTTTTCTTACAGAAAAATAACTTCCTAAAATTACATGAAAGGAATTAACAAAGGCCCTCTGGAGACAGTCCAGGAAAGACCAACCAGAATGAGTAAAAGGACGAAGAATAAATCCTGTGAGGAAAGTTAAAGGAAGTGGAATTGTTTAGCCTGAAGAAAAGGCGACTAAGGAGTAATTTGATTAAAGGCCCTTGGATGTGGAAGATGCTGACCAGCCCTTCTCTATGTCCAGAGAGGGCCAAGTTAGAGGAAACTAAATTAAAGCCTAAGAGATGTGAGTTAAATAAAAGAGGAATTCCTTAACTTTCAGGCTGATTTTTTTTAAAAAATGAAATGGGCTGCCATACATAGCAAGTTAGGCCGGAAATGTTCTGGAACAGACAGCCATCTGTCCAGAAATAATATCATCTCTGAGTTGCCAGAAAAGGATGGCCTGCGAGACTGTCTCAGCAACACGGCTCTAAAGTTTGTTTATTCTCTAGAATATGTGCTTCTTTCGCAGCTAGCATTGAGTTCTTCCAAAAAGTTTATTTCTGATACCTCGGGGAGGAATTAGTCATATAAAAAGAGGCTGGTTTTAAATTTAACACAAAAATGCTTTTGCTTAAATTGCTCTTACAGCTTAATGACACACTGTGGCTTAAAAGCTCGGCTGCTTCCTTGTCATTAACTCAACTGGCCCAAAGATTACGAAGGGAGGATGTGATGGTTCTGAGAGTGAACTGATGACCGGAGCCATACTACATTGTCAAGCGGATCATAGCTTTGCTTGAGTCACACAAAAGAGGAAAGGAGGACGAGCTCCACAGTCTCATCAGACTCTTCTGGAGGTTGGCAGGACTCACTTAGGCCAGGTCATTCCTCCTGGTTGAATGACAGCTGCCAGTGATCTGTCTCTTTGGTAAGTGGCAGGAGACGGCTGCTTGGCCCTTGAGCAGACACCGCCATGATCCTTGATGATGGGAGTTCATATTTTTCGCTTTGGCAGGTGAGCTGGGCCAGGAACCTGCTGAAGCATGATTACACAGCTATGCCGGGTTGTCCTTGGTCCTCACCCTTGTTTAGAAACCACACTCATGTAAGTCCAACCTGACCACCACCTGGACCACCACTTTGCTTCATTCCGAAGGATGCAATGAGAAGGTGGCCCTTGAGTTGTGCACCAAGGCAGGCTACACAACACTGGAGCCACAGAACAAGCCACACCAACAGAACTGTGCTTCACCCCATCTCTCTGGGCTTCTGACGGAGCCATCTGTTTGGTGGTCAGTTTGTTCCGCTCTTCAAGAGCTGGTTAACCGACACAGGTGTCTTCCTAAAATGTGCAGGACATCATGGCACGCCTCTGTTCAATACCTTTCGACAGCCTCCTGCTCCTACTGGGGGGCCCTGTGGATCTGGTCTGTGCTAATTCTCCAATCTCACAACGCTTACTCTCGCTGCCTGGGTTCAAATTCTGATTGTAAACCCTACTTGCTAACGTGTGATCCTGGTCAAATTATTGAACTTTTCTGGGCTTCACTTTCCTCATTTGTACAATGGAGAGAATAGCATTATCTACCTCCTATGACTTTTATAGCTATTAAGTGAGTAACTACAGGTAAGTGTTTGGAATGATTCCTGGAACATAGTAAGTGCTCAATAAGTATTAATACCGTTATCATTACTATTGTTATTATTTTATGAGGAAATGGAGCCCTGGCGGCATAGTGGTTAAGTGCTGGGCTGCTAACAAAAAGATTGGCATTTTGAATCCACCAGTCGCTCCTTGGAAACCCTATGGGGCAGTTCTGTCCTGCCCTATGGGGTCGCTATGAGTTGGAATCGACACGAAGGCAATGGCTTTGGTTGTGGTAGCAATGATTGTAACAATCTAAGATGCTGTGTCTGCGTCTCCATCCTCATCCTCTTTGTTAACTTACATTTATCAAACCCATGATATGCCAGGTACGTTGTTAAGCATTTTACAGATACTGCTCTGGTTTCTAACTTCCTCTTAGCTTAAAATAATAATATTACTTTATATAAAATATATAAATAATAACATTGTTAATAACACTATTGTTATATCATTAACACTAGTGGCTAACATTCTACTGAGCACTTATTATGTGCTCGGCACAGTGCTGAAGGAGCCCCGGTGGCACAATGGTTACGCACTTGGCTGCTAACTGAAAGGCTGGCAGTTTGAATCCACTCAGTAGCACCATGGAGAAAAGATCTGGCAATCTGCTCCAGTGAAGATTACAGCCTAGAAATCCTATGGGGGCAGTTCTACTCTGTCATACTGGGTTGCTATGAGTCAGAATTGACTCCATGGCACCCAACAACCACAAAGGCATTGTGCTAAGAGTGTTATATATTTTTTCTCACGTAATCCTCACAGCAATCTCACAAGGCTGGCATTATTATTACCACAATAGTAGTAGTAATAGATCTGACTGAGGAGGAAACTGGGCTTGGAGACATTAAGCAACTTTCCCAAGGTCACACAGGAACCCAGAGGTGAGGTGAGGATTCGAAACCCATGTCTGTGTGACTCTATTTTTCTACATTCTCAGTCACTTCATGCCAGGTGTAAAACAGGTTCCCAGCATTATTCACTGAAAGAATAATACTGCAGTGGAGAAAATGAATGTGGTGATAAAAGTCCCCAAACAATTCTCTTCCACTGA